ATTTGCAAACTTACAAGAAAAATCTCACAAGGAAAATATGTTTGCACAATTCTAGAACAAAGAAAGAACACTCAAGAATAAATACAATTGAGCACAATAAGTGTTCTTGAAAGCAAAATGAATATTGAATGAAAAATAGGCTTGAAATGCTCAAACTTGAGGTTTGATGCTTTCTCTTTGATTCTCTCTTGATTCTAATTGCTTGATGTTTATTGTTATTGATCAATGGCTTCTAAGCTTGCTTAAATACACCTTGAATCACTTCTGAACGTTGGAGATGATTAGAGAAAATAATATAGCCGTTTTAGTGTGAAAACAATTAATAAAACAGTTTGGAGCGTGGGGGGAATCGGTACCCCCTATGGGGAATCGGTTCCCTAAGTGTAAAATTCAAATATTTCGACCGTTATACAAAGGGGGAATCGGTACCCCCTGGGGGGAATCGGTTCCCTCCGAGCATACTGGAATTCTCGGAGCCAAACCATTCAGGGGGGAATCGGTACCCCCTTAGGGGGGAATCGGTTCCCTCTGAGCAATCTGGAATTTTTGGCTTTGAAATGGTTCGAAATACTTTGTAAAATTATTTTGAAATTGTTTTAAGATTAAAACTTAATTTTACACTTTGAGTAAGGATTAAAAATGATCTTTGAAAGATTTGGAGTAATGTTTTGATATTCGAATAATTCTATCGAATATACTTAGAAAATCATTTGGAAAATCTTAAAATTCATTTAACTTAATTTGTTATATCGAAATATCAAAATGTTTTCAACACGGACATATCGAATAGTCGCCTACCCAGAGAAAAATAGCCAAGTTAAAAGGCATGAAGTTGTATAGTGTCTGGTTGGGTGCTTATCCCTTCTGTTTCCTCGGCATTCAGTGAAAGGCTTTTTCTTTTTCTTATCTTATGGGGGTTATTAGATATAAATAGTATTTTATTAAATCGTATTTTATTTTAGTTTTAAATGAATATTAAAATGACTAGTTATTGTTATTATTTTAATTATATTGGTTGATTTTTTTAAAGAAACAAAATTTTACCGATTTTGGAACAATATTTGTTTTGTATGACTGATGTGACATCTTTGACTCGTATATGGGTACTTATATGAGTTAAGGGTGTTACATTTATCTGATCACAAAAGCTTAAAGTATTTGCTGACTCAAAAAGAGCTAAACTTGAGACATATAAGATGAATCGAGTTACTTAAAGTATCTGGGAAGGCTAATGTTGTAGCTGATGCACTTAGCCGAAAGACTTTTTCAGCTTTACACATGTTAGATGCCCGATTATTTTTAAAGGACAATGATGTTCTGGTGGCTGAAATAAAGTTAAAGCCTTTATTGTTGGAGCGAATAAAGGAGTTGCAAAGGAGAGATGAAAAATGTTTAGAAATAATAGAACAAGCGGAAAATGTGAAACTAAAGATTTTGAAATTAAGTCTGATGGATGTCTATATTATAAAGGAAGAATTTATATTCCAAGTGATGAGAAATTAAAGAAAGAACTTCTCTGCAAAGCGCATTATAGTCCTTTGACGATGCATCCTGGAGGAAACAAGATGTATCATGACTTGAAAGGTCGATATTGGCGGCCAGGTATGAAAAGGGCTATAACTGAATTTGTTTCTAAATGTTTAACATGACAACAAGTAAAGACATAACATCAAGTGCTATCTGGCTTGTTACAACCTATTTCCATATCTCGGTGGAAATGAGAAAGAGTTACTATGGATTTTGCAGCATGTCTGTCTTTGAAACCTAGTAAAAAGGACTCAATTTAGGTGATTGTGGATAGATTGACTAAGTCACACCACACTTTATTTTAGTTCGAGTTGACTATTCTATGGATAATTATGCTAATTTGTATATAAAAGAGATTATTCAACTGCATGGAGTACCTGTCTCAATCGTATCTGATAGAGATCCAAGGTTTGCTTCAAGATTTGGGAAGTCCTTGAACAAGGCCTCAGGAACTCGAATTAACTTTAGAACAACTTTTCACCCACAGATAGATGGTCAGTCTGAGTGGATTATTAAGGTTTTGGAAGATATGAAAAAGCAGTTTTCTCACATGTTTGAAACATATACGTCTTAAAAATTCGAGGATGAATTTTAAAAAGGGGGAGAATTGTAATATCTCAAATTTTGGATTGGTGACTAGAATGTAAATTTTGAAAGTTTAGAGATTAAATTGTAAAGTTGTAAAAGTTTAAGGACTAAAAATATGAATTTTCAAAGGTTAAATTTTGGATTTGTAAATAAGTAGTTTAGCCCAAGACAATTAGTTTAGTGGGTTTCATAATTTTGATATGGAGTTTGCATAAAAGTTTATTAAATGACAAAGATCGATATATTATTTAAATAACCAGATCGAATCGAAGGATTAAAAAAAATTGAAATAAGGTAGATTTGGGTTTGAAAAATTATATGGATATTTTTAATTAGTGGAATTTAAGTTGTATTGATGGAATTTGGTGAAAATTGCACTATAAAGTGAAATAGTTCAATTTAGTGACTAAAATGAAATTTTGGAAAATTAGAGGGTCAATAAGAAAAATTGAAAGATGAGATTTTTAAGGTTATTTAATAATATTAAAATAGAGATAATGGAGTGGCATGGGTGTAATATTGGGAATTCATTAGTGGCAATTTAGTCTTTTGGCCCAAAATGATTAAAAATTGAAAGATGAGATTTTTATGGTTATTTAATAATCAAAATTAATCATTTTGGTGGAGCTTATGATCGTTTCAACTCATGATTAAAGAGTTAATTTTTCACAATCAACCCATTTTTTAAAAATCAATTTTTTTACTTTAATATTGAATTATATTAATTGTATGAGCGAGCTTAATTTTTATTTAATTTTCAGTCGTTTTATTCTAAATTAATAAAAAAATTAATATAAATTTAAAATATTTTAAAAACAAAATCCATCGGAGCAAGTAATAATATATATACATATATTATTAATAAATTTTATCAAAATAATATACTTTAATTAATATTACAAAAAATATTATTATATTGTTTTATATCTTATATTATAATTAATAAATTTAATTAAATTTAATCACAAAATAATCAGAACTATACAATTTAACGCAAATTTATTTTTATCAATAATGAAATAAATACTTAATTTCATGAGTGGTTAAACATTAAACTTTTTTTTTCTTAGATCCAAAGTTATAACCTTAAGCACAACATTTGATTTATTTTTGAATAACCAATAAAATAATAATATATGCCTTTATCTTAGAATGAGTATTAATCTTTTAAAACAAGTATATGTGACTGACAAAAATAACATTAATTTTAAAGTTTAATATATATATTTTTTAAGTTCGATAACCATTAATGTAATTGTCTTAAAATTTATGTAATTATCATAATTTTCTGAATAATGCCGATTCAATCTTTGTTCGACATAATATTTGATATCAAATCTTCAATTAATATCAATCACGAAGTAGACGCTTAAACAATCCTTTTCTTCAAACGAAATCATAATTTTTTGGCGAAACTACACGTATATATAAACTTTAATTCTTTTCAAAATCATACATAGATTTCATTTTGGTATCCGTCGTTAAAAACTTAATGTTGATATTGACATGTCATCATAAGATAATGTATATTATCATTAAAAAAATAAAAATATCACGTCAACAATTCTAATAATTTGTTAACGGTGGATTATCAAATTAAAACCTAAAACTAAACTTTAGGTATGCTTTTAAAAAAGAATAAAGTTTAGATACCAAATCAGAACAAAAATAATAGTGTAAGCACTAAAAGTATAGTTTACCCTAGTTTTTTAAATATCTAAGGTGGTGCTTGTTTTTACTGTGTAAGGTCTGCAAAGCTCTTATGTCTGCGCCGCGCAGATATTGAGCTTCACAGACATTTGTTTTTTAGAAGACAGAAGCTCTTCTAATGTCTGCGTGTGGTCTGCGCGGCGCAGACGTGGTCTTATGTCTGCAGACGTCTTCTAACCTCTTCAAAGAGGTTTTATATTTAATTTTATATTATATTTGATTTTAATATTAATTTTTAAATAAATTAAATATTAATTTTTTTAATATTATATTATAGATATTAATTTTAATATTAATTTTTTAAATAAATTAAATATTAATTTTTTAATATTATATTATAGATATTTAATTTATATCATATAAATTATTTTATATATTATTAAAATTTTATATTTATTTTAATTATTTTGATTTAAGTTTAAATATAATATTTTTTTGGATTTTTTATTTTTAAATTATATTTAAACTTTTTATACAAAATGTAAGTATTTAAACCACATTGCTTAATAAAAAAAATGATTTCATTGTTTGATAATTAAGATTTTAAAATATAAAATATAAAAAATTATAAATTATGTTTTTAAAATTTTAAAATATAATCATAATTAAATAAAAAATAATCATAAAATAATTTGATAAATTAAAAATATTTTCTAAAAATATCATATATAATTATAAAAATAAATTATGAATATATATTTAAAAAAATTAAAAGTATTACATAATTGTATGTTTAAAAAAATCATATAATTTAATGATCATTTATAAATTTTATTCTATAAAACTAATAATACATGTGATTATGTGATACTTATAATAGAATTAATAAGGTTATATTTGTTTTTCTAAAAAAATTATTATTGTAACTGTATGAATTATTTAAATTTTAGTATTGTAAAACTAAAATTATTTAAATCTCAGTATTGTAAAACTCTTTTAAGTTTAAAAAATCAGTTAACTTATATTTCAGTTTATTTTAACAGTATGCATACATTAAAAAACAAACAGTCTTCTTCTTGCATACTGTAGACTTTTGATCCACCTCTTCTGCTGCAGATGTGGTCCGCGGACTGCAGACCTATTACCTCTACAAAAACAAACACCACCTAAATCAATCTGCAATAGTAATGAATTGAAAAGCCAAACCTGAATGATTTAACAAAACTTTAATATCCTCAACAACTGTAATATATATATTTTTCTTCGATGCACAATCTGTTTAGTTGAACATTCAAAACCTGCCTCTCCCTCCTCTCCAAGAAATGAGGCGGGAAGCAACCAGTGTGGCTAACTCGGTTTTCATATGTTATATGGTAGATAAGTTGATATTACATCTGATTGGGTCAATAAGGAGGCACTGACCCAGCTGGTGGTACACCACCGTAGCCGCCCAGCATTTGCATCGTTCCGTGAGTCATTTGTGGCATCGAGGCTGGTGGCATGTAAGGATGATTAGTCATCTGTACTGGCGTGGATTGAGGCACTCCTGGAACACCGGAGGCCCATCCAGCAGAAGGTTGAGGAGGCATCATCATAGGTTGGCCTGAACCAGGACCGTATGGAGTCCCTTTGTATTGATGAGCAGCTGGACCCATTGTTTGAACTGGCTGTTGCCCAAAACCCGAAGGTTGTGGGTTAGAAATGGCAGGGTTAGGGACTGTATAATCTCTGCTCCTATCGTTGTTGACCTGTAATGCATAGACCACCCTATCAGAAGAAATAGACTAGGCCTTTTAACCTTTAAAATGCTCTTCTTCTGTAGAGCTGTAACTCTTCATTGTATGAAAAATATCAGGATATAGGTATCGGAATACGACATCAAATAAATGAACATATCCATCTCAGACACTCACACCTGGACCGAGTGACGTTAATCTAGTCTAATGGTTGAGCTACAAACATGTATACAAACTATTGCATCAAAACGAATCATTTAAATGACTAAGGTGTATTGTCCAAAACTCCAAATACCTTTATACTGAGATCAGTGTGGCGCGAATAAGAGAGATGCAGCTTGCAAAACCCTCCATCATATATGCAGTGCCCTTCCAAGGCCTCCTTGGCAACAACGGCTGTCTGAATATCTGCAAAACATGGAACCATTAATGTTTAGAATAAGGGATGACAAGAATAATGTGGTTAATCTCTTTACTATGTTCTTACTGGTAACATATTTTCAAGGCCTAGTTTAAAGGAGAAATAAAACATGTTTGAACATTACCCGGATACTGAATTAGAGCCTGCATTCCACCATTCTTGTCAAACATGGCAATCTTTTGGACGGGCCCAAAAGCAGAGAAGACCTAGACGTAAGTGAAAAAAAGACGAGAGAAGAGCAAATACCCGGTATGAGTTGAAGTACTGGATTGTTAAACAAAAACAGTTTCCAGTAATTGGCAATACCATATGTAGCACATCCAATGTAACAGCATACTGCATGTTCTCGATAGATGCAAGTAAAACATTACTCTCGGGTTCAAGTTTTTTCCCATCAAGACCTAAACTTAACTGCAATGATAACAAATGAATCCCATTAATAAACTAGCAAAAGAGTAAACGAGAACCACAGAATCCAGCAGTGTAAAGCAGTATCATTCATCTCTTAGAAGAAATACAGGTTCACAAGAATTGATTTGATGTCCATGACACCTCGCAGGAGAAAACATTAAATATATATGTTTTAATATACTAATGGAAATTTGGCTAAAACCACAAAGGCTTTCTGCTCTAAACTATACAATATACATGGTAAATAAATTGCGCACAACTATATTCAATTTCTAACAACTGTTGAGAAATTCAGTAGTCAATAACATGTTCTTAACCTGGCTGCTTCCATCTATCGCTGATGGAGCAACAGGAAGATAAGGATTGGTGTAGTCCCTGAAAATAGACAAGTAAATAAAAGAAACAAAGTGAGAAAAGAGTAAATTTAATAAATGAAGAATAGAGAAACGGAGATAAATAGCAGAGGGAAGCGCAGCAGTCCATAAAACTGTAAAACAGAGGATCAATGAAATGTTCAAGATATGCAAACAAATGCCAACCGCCATGAAAATTACTCATTCATATGAAATCCCAGAACCGATTATGTCTTTGAATATGGTAAATAAGATATTATGAATAACCGGATACAAAGATTGACCAGGAATACCTGCTCCGATGGCTCTGAAATTTCACACTCAAATCTCTGTGGGCAGAATATGTGATCTTAAGCGTACATGGAGCAATATTTTCAGAAAGCAGATACCTGAAAACCCAGGAAATGATCAGTCAGTAGATATTTTGCAACAAAACCAGTAATCACAAAAGAATAGCAGAAGCTGTAAGCTTATAAGCATTGCTTGTGGAGGAAACTGTTATTGGATCGCACTTCAATTCTAACTTGGGGAGTTTTCTATTACTTTATCAAGGACTAAAACAAAGCAAAAAAGTAGTCTGCTGCAAGACTAAACAGAAATAGTAGTCAGAAGTGTAAGAGTTCAATAGACATAAGTGCTCAATGCAAGTGCACCACACCCTACAGCTATATGGTCTACAACAGTTGGACTAAATACCATGTCTAACAATTAATAGAACTGTCACCTAGGGATGCTTCGTCCATCCAAGGCATTTTTGGCAGATGTGGCCGTTTCTGTATCTGAAAATTGCACCAATGCCTGCAAAAATAACAGTACCAAATGAGCTTATTTTAAAAGGCCGAGGCACACTAACCAAAACTAAAAGAAGAGATTTAATTCATTGACCTGGAATCCAGCTGTCTTCTCAAAGGTGGTTATTTTATGCACAAAACCAAAAGCTGAAAATACCTGCATTATTAACAACAATAAAAAGATAAACTAAAAAAAAATTCAGGTAAAAGAACTACAAAAAGTAATTACAGACTGCAATACCCTCTCAAACATATTTTCTAGAAAATAGCAAATGAGATAAGTCCAACATGTCCAGTTCTTCAGCAAAGAGACAGAAGCAATATAACTTATAACAGAAAAAAGAGTACAGCTAGATATTTCAGATACTAAAAGGAGGTTAACAGTATTAGAACAAGTAAAATCTATGAATACACAAGACCCAAGGGCACTAGAATGCCACAAGAGATGAAATGAATAATGGATGGATGAACTGGCCAAGTACTGCTAATAAACCTCATATCTTTACAACAAAACAAACCTACTCTCCAGGCTGCTAAAATTTCGATTTCTATGAAGTTTACATGTAATATACAACTCTCTGAAATTCAAAGTAAAAAAATCCCATTCAATCATTATCCTTTCTTCCAGTTAAAAGGTAAAGCACCACCTGCTTCAGAAATAAATAGAAGCAAACTGCAGATGCAGGAAGAGACCTTAATTGTTCAAGCATTTAAAAATGTTAAAAGCTCAACTCAATACTGAGGAAGTCAAAAGAAAGAGTTGCAACAAGCAGCAGGTCCTACTTCCTAGATGAGTCAAGGTACCAGGCACAAAGTTCTAAGTAGCTGGGGACTAAAAATAGGCACCTATATATATATTATAAGGAAATCTGCCTCTATATATTATGAGGTTATGTAGTAAGCATATTTCAACATTATTCACTAAAGAAGGTTATACTTTGTAGATTATACAGTTGTCACAACTGTTTTTTAGCACCTCACATATCTTGAGGCAAATATAGACAAATAGTTAAATAAACTTTAAATAATAATAATAGTAGTAGTAAAAATTAAACTGTGTCAACTAGCTGTCTCATATTATCATATGATTTAGGACTATACAATGCTACCAAATACAAATCCTGTTTTATTCTAAAATGGCATGAGATAGCACGTTTGCATTAGCGCAAAAGGGGCAGAAGGATCTTTGGTCTTCACTGTATATCATAGACTAATAGATGATGTCCCAACACCCAGTAGTAAGATAATATAAAGATTCATTCATTCTTTGAATAAAGGACAGGAGGACAAAAAACAGTTCTTGTTACATGGATGATAGGCTACCTAATCAGGGGTCATCTTGGGGAGAAACTTGCCTTGAGTATGTTTGGTTTTATAAAGTTTGTTAATTATGCAACAAAGAGAGCAGCCAACCACCTACCTTAAAATTACCATCTATTTGGGGTTCTATGACAATTGTTGTGTACACTGCTTGACCTGAGTGCTAAGACAAACTGAGGCACTTGAATAGACTACCCAGATCGTGTTCAGTGAGGAGTGAAGACTTGAAACTTGGTAAAGCTAAAATTTATTATCTCCAAAACGTAATACAGACCACATACATAAAAATTGTACATGGATTACAAACTTTATAAAAACTTCATTCCAAGTAGCAGAACAAACAAAAAAAGTGACACAAAGCACCGGAATAAGTTCAAGGGAGATGGATGAACATGAGTGAAGAGATGAAAGAAACATCCTAAATGAAACGAATAGGAAAAACGAGACAAACGCACGTCCTCTTTCTCTTGATGCACCAAGTTGCCATTGGTGATAATTCACTTAACATGATTCTCTTGATCCATTAACATTCATGTCAAAATAGAAAAAGCTCTTCTTCTTTACAAATATACACAATCCTAGTTACTATAGAAATTTATATCAAACCTATGTTACTCAGACTCAGGTTTGAGTGTTGGATATGGGCAAGTGTCCAACTTGGTTTTGTTCAAATTTTCCAAAGATTTTTCATGTAATTGAAGAATCCTTGGAGAGTCATCTCCTGTACCTATGCCCAAATGTCCAAATATGTGTCGCAGGAAAGTACTTCACACAAATGAAGAGTCCGAGCTACACAGTACCAAACAACCTAGAAATACTAACTCCATACCCTTCTAAACCAAAAAGATAAAAAGGGCCAAGGTCTTCCTTACCAAATGAAGAACATCAATGGAAACAAGTCGAGCATCTTGACCTTCAATTGTTACCAGCAGAACATTTCCGGCAACATCGGCAATTGTTTTGTTATTTACAATCTCTTGCCTATTAGAATATTGTAGATAAACTGTTTTGCCCCTCACTTGAGCAGGCTCTGAAGAAGAAGCATAATATGATGTCATAGCAATAGCCTGATTCAAATCAGCCTATAAAAAAATCAATAAAAAAATGCATAATTACTAACAATACTGAAATAATAGAGAAATTCAGAACAAACATTAAAAAGAATTTCTGATTAAACTTACGAATTCGATGAAAGCTTGATTACGATTGGCTCCAACATTGCACTTTGTGTTAACGACCCTCCCGAATGGCTTCCCCAGTTCGATCAACTCTTCCTCCGGACACTCCCATGGCAAGTTCCTCAAATGCAGCACCTTAGACGGGGGTTGAGTGTAACGGAACTGCGTCTGACTTGATATGGAGGCCATTCAGTTCAGCAACCAAACCCTTAAAGTCTATGCCAAAGAAAAGAAGAAGATTCGAAACCCTAATTGCCCAAATTTCCAAGATATAACAACATTAAACTTTTAATATTTATCCATATATATATATTAAAACCAGCCAAGTACGATAAATCGAAGAAAGTGATAAATAAAGAGAAAATCAAGTTTGGATTTTTATTTTTATTAATTATTTACAATTTGGTAGTTACATCAACGAGTCTAAAATTCATAATTTAAAGAAACATAAAAATTAAATAAATATAAGCAGTTTAATCAACGAAACTAAATTTACTTACTTAATATTATAGGTTTTTTTAATATGAGAGTAAGAAAAAGTGTCCTGAATCAAATCTGAGATTTAAAGGCAAATAAAAATTTATATTGTTGTGTTTGTAGCCACATATTTTCGTCCGACGTTACATAATGTTATGTGGCGTATTCGTAGTATACGGTACGCTTACAGTGTATACGCGTTTAAAATATCACTTACGTTATGTACATTAAATACATTATATTTATATACGTATAATATATAGTATTATACATATATATAATGTTATTTATTACATGTATTTTTGTTTTGCAGGCCATTACAACACTAGAAAGTTGATACAAATAAAAAACGGCCCAAGATCCAAGCCCAAAACGCATTCCAGCTGCAGCAGACTCAAACACGTGACCCGGGTACAGGAACCCTACTCGAACCGCTCCAAGCCAAACCCTAGGGCACCATTTCCCTCTCGAACCTTCCACAGCGCCGCGCAGCAACCCAACGACCCGAGTCCACCGCCGGGTTTTTCGCATCCCCAACGTCACGCAAGGAACAAACCACAAAAACAAGAGATTCAATTCTAATGGGACTCAAAAATTCGAGTTAAGAATAGTAAACTACTAGGATATAAATACATGTAATCTCATAGAGAGTAGGGGGAACACAAAAAACCCATCATCAGCCGACGCACACAGAAAACCCATCATCAACAGAGAGATCAAAGAACCAGCCAAACAGAAACATAAAACCCACGAACCCACAACCACAGTAAACGAAAACCCACCATGACAGTACACTACTAGAGTACCCACAGCGAGAAAAAACGACAGCAACACAGTAAGTCAAACAACAATACCATCACGTTACCAAATACAACCAAAGGCCGAAGCCCCACAGCCAAATAAGTAAAATAAAAGCAAAAGCGAGGATATCGTCGAAGAAGGAGGCGTCGGGAAGCCAAGAAGACACATCGGCAAAGGTAAAGGTCGAAGCCTTTTCCCTTAGATCTACGACAACTCGGCTCAATTCAAGATTATCAGGCCACTGATTTGTGTTTACGGGGCAGAGGGGGCATTTCGAGGCCTTGTTGTTCTTTCCGACCACCACCGATAGCGGCCGGTGCTGCGGAGGCACAACGGGATTGGCCACCGGAGTGATGGTCGGGCTTGGACCGACCATCGGGGAAGGGAGAGAGGCTAAGAGCTTTTCTCTCATTTGAGAGATGAGATTTTTGGAGAAAATGAGAGAAATGAGGTGAAAAGGGCTTGTTTGGGTATTTACATACCAAGGACCAGAGTGCAAATAGAGGATTTTTAAATCCTCTACGCAGTCACTAGAACTTTGAGTCGCTTTACAAATCGGTCCCCATGTGTAATTTGGCCCCCGAATTTTCAGTTTAATCGATTTAATCCCGGTTTTTATTTTTACATTTTCACGAATTGATCCCCTAATTTTATTTTTTTCTTTTGCAGTTCTTTTTTAAATACTAATTGAATCTATTAGTTCCAATCTATTTCAATTTGGTTCTCTAATTTTATTTTATTTTATCATTTTTTCCTTCATATTATTATTATTATTATCTTGTTAGAAACTTTAACCATTTTTTATTTCTTTACCTTTTTATTCTTTGTTTTTATTTTTTTTATTATTTTATCATTTTTTAATATTGGTATTATTATTATTATTATTATTTTTTTTACCTAACATCTTAATTTTTTTTTATTTATTTCCTCTAACATTTTAACTTTGTAGAGAAATTCTCAGCTAATCAAAGGTAAATAATTCGAACCGAATTTTTAAATTTCAATTTCAATTTTCCCAATTAAAGACAACCGAAAAATTAATTGGTACCGAAAGGGCGGTTCAAGGGTGCTAATCCTTCCTTGACCATAACCGACTCTCGAACCCGACACGTTTTTGGTACAACGCAGATCAGGTAAGATGGTGTACGACCCACCTAATTCGTTTTAAATGGTCGGTGGCAACTCTAAAGCATTTAATCCAAGTCGAAGCCCAATTCTGGGGCCCAACCGAAAGACGGTTCCGAGAGCTTGGCGACTCTGCTGGGGACATGTAAGTGAGTTAGGCCAGAATTAAATTTTCGGCTGTTTTTTATGCGAAAATGGTAAATTTAAATTTATTTATTCAATTCCAATTATTTACCTTTGATTATTTTTCAAATAAATAGTTGTACTGACATTTTTTCAATGATTTCAGATTTTTGAAAAGTTTCTATCTCTGGCTCTATACCCGAGCTCCGAACCCTTTTAAGTGGAGGTGAAAGTGACGCCTTCGTGAGAATTTATTCTCCGCACATGCCTAGCAAGTAGCCTTCGGGATTCATATACCTTTTGTCTTCGTGTGAATTTATTCACCGCCCAGACATAAGAGAATGTGTCCTCTCGAGTTTAACTTAGTCCATACAAGCTTGTAATGAGGTTAGGACTAAGGGTATGGCAAGCCCAAGGGAACAGCAACAAGGAGAACTTGAGTACCCTTTTAGAACCTAAACCGGGAGAGTAAAGGGAATTAGAGCCCACCATAAAACCTCATTCCAAACCCTAGACTGCTTTGATTTTATTTCCTGCTTTACTTTCTGTTCAAAGCATGCGAACTAGACAAATATGCGGTTATAATTTGTTTGAAATTAGCATGCGAGATAGAGATCATGTCCGGGTAGGAATTGAAGCATGTGGGGTAAACATAATGTGGGGTAGGACTTTTATTTTTCATGATTATTTTTTATTATTTTCACTTCACTAACTCTTTTCATTTTTATTTTATTTTACTTTATTTTCATCACTTGCATCATTTAAAAGAGGTGTTGATCCACCAAAAATGTGTTTGTTAAACATGAATAATATGCATTAATGGACAAAGGGGTTGTAATACAAGAGATGAAAATACAGAGGACAGTCTACAAAGCGACTATGTGTCACATTCAATCCAGAAGACGTGGTGCCACAATTGAAGAGTATATCACTCTGTTGTATTATAAAGGACTGTGAATGAACTGGGTCTACATCACGCACGATGAAAGTCTATCTTTGAAGAACTGACTGGCAGAAGTTGCATGGGCAAAATGAAGGTTATTGATCTTGGGAGTCTCTTCAAAGACAACAATGGCAAAATGATAGATGAAATTGGAGACCATTGTTGACGAATTCAAGAAACAAACAAATGAACTTCATATAGTTCATATCAATTGAGGGCTCCAATGACGTATTCATTGGGAGAAGGTTCAACAAAAGATAAATGCCAGAGATGCAGTCATTCGAGACTTCTTGGGCCAGTAAAAAAATCAACTCAACATTTACACGGTTCATCCAGAAAAGTCAGAGCGGTTTGACAGGTTATTCAACCGGTGACAGACGAAGGCAGAAGACTAGTCAACATATCAGAAGTTGTCAGGATATTTTTGTCTCTTAAAAGATAAAACACTTTTGTCTCCAATAAGGATTATTTTTAATAACAGACACATTTTTTAGGATCAATGCCTCGAATATTGCATGCATTATGCATTTAAACATATATTTTGCATTTTGTTATTTTTTCTTTACATTCGTATTAACTAACGGAAGAATGTCTCATCAGAAGGAGCACATACTGGATACACCACCTCAAGCATTAGACACACCCCATCCGCATAATACCCGCCTAAAAAAGAAGAAAATGGAAGCCATAATTGCTTAGATTGAGGAGAACATGTTGAAGCTCCAGAGGGAGTTGGAAGACAAGATAAACCAGAGTAGTCTGAGTACTCTAGATACAATCATGAAAAATCAAGAGTCCTTGGTCGATCAAATTATGGCCAAGTTGTCTGGTCTACATCAAGCAAGTGCACCTGGGGCAGGTTCACCGGAAGGGGTAACTATACCACCTATCCCACAAGTGGTTATCACACCTGGAATCTTACCTGAACTTCAAGGGGATTTATCAACTACAAAAGCAAAAACCCCATATACTGTAGAGATACAAACTGTTATATTTAACCCTAAAAACAATTCGGGTTATTACCATGTACTAGATTTGGACGAAGAGGACATAGCGAAGAAGATGGAGGAAAAAATCAAGCAGTTGGAGGGGCAAATGAAGGTAGTTAAAGGAGACCATGACTACCATGGTATTGATGCCGCGGAACTCAATCTAGTCCCAGACTTAGTTATTCCTCCAAAATTCAAGTCCCCTGAATTCGAGAAGTTTGACGGGAACAATTGCCCATCCGCTCACATCACCATGTTTTGCTGAAAGATGACAGGATATGGAGGAAATGATCAACTCCTGATTCACTGCTTCCATAAGAGTCTGTCGGGCTCAGCCATCTGATGGTCAACCAGCTAAGCCGATCAAATATCAAGACCTGGAAGGACATGGCCAAGTCATTTCTAGAACAATACAAGCATGTCAATGACATAAGACCAGATCGAGTTATGCTACAAAGCATGGAAAAGAAGAATAATGAGAGTTTCAGGCAATACACACAGAAATGGAGGGACTTGGCTATACAAGTTCATCCACCTTTGGATGAAAAGGAAACCCGGAAGCTTTTCGTACAGACCATGAAGCTCCGTACTTCGGACACCTGGTTGCAATTACATCAGGGAGCTTTTCAGACTTGGTTATGGCCGGAGAAATGATCGAGTTGGTCATAAAGTAATGTAAAATTAAGGATGGAGAGGCCAGTAGAAAACCTCCTATGGGAGAGAGTGATGGAGAGATTAACAACATCAACCATGTCAGTAGAGTTGTTACAATCTCCAAACCGAAATCAACTGCAGTTGTACCGTCAGGTACTTCTAAACAAGATTACAAAGAACCAAGAAGAGAAAGAGAATATTTCGA